CACCAGGGAGACACTCAGCCAGAGTTTGCAGCACCTAATTGGATTTGGATGGGTTGTGTCAGATTAAATTTGGTGTGGTGGGCAGCCTGGACTGGCAGGCACCAGGCCTCTGAAGACCAGGGCTTCTGGAAATAGCTCTGGAGTTCTATCTGGACTCCCCTCAGGGAGGGGAAACAAACAGAGCCTCTGTTGAGCTTGGTGCTCCTGGTTCCTCCATGTCCAGATCAAGGGAGAAAGAGAGTGGATCTTATAGTTTGGTTCCCAAGAACAGTCATGGCATAAGCAAGGAGTTGCAGAGGACAGAACTCACTCTTGCAGAAAGCTGCTCTGTGCTTGGCCTGGGCTGGGGCTGGGAGTGGGCTAGGTCTGCATTAGAGGAACATGCAGGCTGGCACAGTGAGGTGTCTGCTGCCATAGCAGACTGGAGCAGGCCTGCTGCCCAGAGGAGTCGGGCAGGGTTGCAACTGCAGAAGAGGTGAGCGCTTCCCAGCTGGAGCTAAGGACCACTCTCCTGGAACAGAAGTGTCTGGTCCCAAGCACCTCTCATGCCCTGGGGTTCATCTTCACACACCCACTTGGCCATGGGCCTCTCATGGGAGCCATCTGCTACAGGAGAGGACAAGCTACCTCCCTGCTCTTGGCTCCCACCTCAGGTCAGCACAGCCCTGACAGAGGAGATGAGAGGACGTGCTACAGCTCTGCCTGGAGGCTTGGAGGGAGGCCTGTGTGCCACCCCAGTCCTGTGCCCCACTGCCTTGTCTATAAAGTGAGAAGCTGGAGTGGGTCACCTTAAGACCCTTTTAGTCCTGGGGTCTCTTCAAGTCCAGGATACCATGTCAAATAAGGGAAACAAGACTGTTCCACAGTGAGTGCACGACTTCCTCAGAACTTTTAATGTGTGCCATGAATTTTCTCCATCAGGCATCTGAAATACCTGAATGTGTTTCTAGAACACAGAGCCAGAATGCCCCAATAGTACTTTTAAAATTCTTACCTTGCCCCCTATTATAGTAGACAGTGGGTTGATCTGCTCCTAGGTAGGACAGCCTTTATTCCTCTTTTCCTCTTCTTCCTCCTCTCTCCTTTTCCACTCTTCTCTCTCTTTCCCAGCCACTCTTTGCTGAGCCCCCACCCTGTACCAGGCCCAGTGCTGGGAACTTGTGATACAGAATAAAGCTCAGGTCTCCCTGTAGGTTACCCATGGCTGGCAGGGGAGAGCAACATAGGCAGCTGACCCTTCAGCACAGGCCACAGGCAGAGGCAGGGGCAGAGGCAGAGGCTGTGTCCAYGGCGTGCTTTCTGGAGGAGGTGCTCTTTCACGCTCTTCAGTTTCCTCTGCAGCAACACTCCGGGGTAGACTCCTCAGCCCCATTTCATGGCTGACAAAACAGATGCAGAGAAGGTAGCAGTCCAGTCAGAGTCTTTGATGGTGGTGAGCATGGCTGGGCATCTGAGGACCTGGAGCTGGCWGCTCTCCGTGGCTGTTTGTGCGTTGGCTTGGTAGGCACTGACCTGGAGTGGGCAGTGCACAGCATGGTGCTGGCGCCAACCCCAGCAACGGGTCGCCCCCACCTAAGATGCCCAGCTGGAGAGACGCACAGAGGTGGGGTGGGGTGGGGTGCCGAGCCACCCCATCAGGGGGAAGAGCTCRGAGCCATGAGGCCTGGTCCTGAGCTGCTCTGGGAAGAAGGCAGCCTCAGCAGGGCAGAGGCAGTGTCCAGGCCGACCCCAGAGAAGAGGACGCTGTGCAGGCCAACCTCCTGTGCTTCTGCCCATGCAGGTGGGTCTTCTTTGGCCTTAGGAGCCAGTGCTGCTCCCAGTGGAAGTGAGGTAGCACAGCCACCCAGGAGCCAAAGTGACAAGCAGAGGTGGCTGCAAGTTGCCCCCAGGCTGGGCAGTTGTGGCCATCTTTGGAGTGGTGGCAAGGGTTGCTTTAAAATGTGGTGGTGATGCTGGACRCCACTTCTTTCAGGGGAATGCCCCGGAAGCCCTCAGGCCTCCTCTGCCCCACCATGCAGCAAGGAGCCCAGCTCCACAGGGCTGCAAGGCTGCTCCTCTCAGGCCTGCCCTGCTCTTGTTTTGAAAAATATAGTTTTTGATAAAAGTACATTATTTAAATTCTTTTCTGTGTGGTAGACATGGGTAATATAACATGTGGACTCGTACACCTGGGCTCTTTGGTCTCCTCTGTCATTGTTAGGAATGTAAAGAGGACCGAAAGCCAGCCCCAGCTGACCCTGGGCTGGAGAGCAGAGCGGGCTTCAGGACCTGGGGCAGAAGGCAGAGTGCTCAATGGCTATCTGGAATCTGGTGAGGGGCCCCCAGGCAAAGGGTGGAGGCCAGCCCTCTTCCCTACAGTTGCCAGAGAAAACCCAGCCAGGACCTTTGAAACCAGACTCCCCCTCCCCAGCTCTGCAGCTCCACATGCTGACCTTGGGTTGCTACCGTAATGCTGCATTACGCCCCCAGGTTACCCTTTGCCAGCAACTATGGCATCTCTTGGCTCATTATTAAAATCCACGTGCTCAAAAGGAAAGATGATTAGATAGCAAGTTGTGGAGGGGAGATGGAGGGAGTTCTAAAGCTCATGCTCTTTAGTCCAGGGTTCTTGGATGCAGCAGTTCTCCAGGGATGAGTTTTACAGCGGGTGTGATCAGCAGGGCTTCTCGTAAATTGCTGTCCTTTGACTGGAAGTGGAAATTCAATCTCCCTTTCTTCATCATGTCCAAGCCTGAGCGAAACAGGGGCCTCAGACTCCTCCCGCTCAAGAAGCAGCACAGATCTGCTTCAGTGTAGGCACATGGGGCAGCTCTAGGAAATTGACAGGGGGAATTGACAAGACTAAACTCAGGGATCAGGAAGTTTGCTGAATTGGTGGGGTTTGAGATGGGCCTAGGATTTTTTTTGTGGAAGGCAGGAGAGGGAGTTTCCCAGGAGAAAGGAGAAGCTGGGGGGATGGGACACTTCTCAAGGATGGTACCAGGTGTGTGGGATTGGGAACTTGGGGAGTATGTGCAGGGGGCAGGGCTGCAGTGTGGGTGGAACAAGGGAGCCACAGGAGCCTTGTGAGCAAGGAAGGAGGGGTAACCCTAGGCTCTGAGCCCACCGTTGACATTGCCCATTAATGATGGTCATGGAGACTGCTTGGTGGCCACCACTTACTGGCCAAACCTTCTCAGAGGCTGGAGTCTCCCAGAAGACCTGCTGAGAGACTGAACGTGTCTAAACGTCCAAGAAAGACCCTCTCCTGAAAGCCACCTCTGAAGCGGGGTGACTGGCCTCTCCAGGACCTAGCAGGGAATCCCTTTCTCCAGATCTGCAGGGGGAGCAGCAGCTTTCAGAAGTCAGGCCCCTGTAAGGATGTCTGGCCTGTTAGTGAACACCTTCAGCAGGCCTGGCATCTGCCCATCTGTGACCCCATTTCATCTCTCACCTACTCCAGGACAGTCGTGCCAGCTCAGAGATCATGAGGCTCAGAGAAGTGAAGCAGGTATCCCCAAGGGCAACAGCTGGTAGGGAAGCCAGGTTCACACCCACATCTGCCTGTCTCTGCAGGGCCTTTCTAAGAAAGCGATGTGCTAGCACTGGCTAATACCAGCTTCAAAGCCAACCGTGTACATGGCGTCCCTACTCCAGTGGTTCCTGTGGATACCACCACACCCCCATAGCTTGAAATCAGCCAAGGGGAGGGTTTGCATCACAGAACTTTGCAAAGACTGCAGCTCAGCCCTCCACCCTTTTACCCCGGGTGTTAAGCCTCCATCAACACACCTCCGTGATAGTCATGCATCAGAGCCAGTGGGAGTTGAGAAAGGAGAGAGCTGGTCTTTCCACCTGAACTTGGAGCCTCCTGTGAGGCACAGCAGCAGTCAGGTGCTGTGCATCTTTAATCATTGGCTGGTGGGTAGACTCTGCATCATGCAACAGTTGGACAGGAAGAAGTTGAGAAGGCAAGGCGAAGAATGGCCAAAAGTAAAGAAGCAGATGACACCAGGAGTTTGGGCACTGGGCAAAGTGCAGGCTTCACTCTTTTCCATTTTGGGGGTTTTGAGTTTAACATTAGACTTTTGGGGGTGTTGCAGATTGACTCCAGGGCCTGTGTGCACTGGACGGGCACTCTACCACTCAGCCACACCCCAGCCCTAGGTTATTTTAAGCTGTAGTATAACTGCCAAGGGGTTTGTGTTTTTACATGTTGCATTGCTGCATGCCTGTGTTTATGGTGTACAGGGTCAAGATGGAGCTGGCCCTCTCCTAAAACAAGAGTCCAGTGTGTGCTCTGAGAAGGAGAGGCCACCTGTGTGTTCACCCACCAAGGATTCCCGCCTCTCTCCAAAGCCGGCTTCACTCCTCCACAGCTTCTTGCAGGTGGAGATGGAGTCAGGTCACAGAGCTGAGGTGCAGGCTGCAGCTCTTCCCTTTCATCTGCCTTTGGCCTCTTGATGGACTTGTGACCCACAGGCTCTCACTTGACCCCTGACCTCATAAATTCTGGAAGCTCCTCACAAATCACCAGGAAGATAAACATCAACTTGGGTCAATGGAAGGAGGTCTGAACTACTCCAGGCAAACAGGGAGGGGAGATGGAGGGAGGGAAGTTTCTGGGACTGTGGGGGACAGACCAAATGGCCCTGACCTGAAAGCAGTTCCAAAGACCTAACCCAAAATGTGGCTTAGGGCAGGAGCTTTGCCAAGTTAGTCCCCAGTTTTCATTTACAGTGCAGCTCACAAAGCACCAGACCTGGGCACAGTGTCCTTGGCCACTAGGACCATCCTTTGTGTCTCCATGTGGATTACCAGTCCACACCTGTGTGTGTGTGTGTGTGTGTGTGTGTGTGTGTGTGCGTGCGCACACGTACACTTGCACTTACACATGTATGTACACACCAGCATACATGGCGTGCAATAGCAGTCCAGAGACTATCATTTAATCATGACATTGTTTCTCTCCCTCTCTCTCCCTGGTCCCCAACCCCTCTCTTGTCTGTGTCTCTTCCCAGAGGGTATGAACTGCATGAACAAAGACCACGGTTGTGCCCACATCTGCCGGGAGACGCCCAAAGGTGGGGTGGCCTGTGACTGCAGGCCCGGCTTTGACCTTGCCCAAAACCAGAAGGACTGCACACGTAGGTAGATGGAGGCAATGGGTCAGATACCCCATGCGTCTCCCGCCATTTCTTTGTAGAGGGTCTGTCCAATCTGCTGGCTGTTGGCCAGGGAGGACTATGAGCTCCATGGGGTGGAAAGAAGGGCAGCTCTGCTGAAGGGCCCTTGGTGGGCTGGAGAGGTGGGCTGTGAACCCTGGGTTTGGGTTTTCCCTACCTGCTGTGACACTACCAGCACAGCCCCAGGAGCTGGCCTGGACTTGTGAAGTCCCTGAGCTGAACTCTGCAGTGGGAAGGAGGGACTGTGGTACTAAGATCTAGATGCCCAGGTTTCTGGAAGGGCCTGGCAAGCCCTCAGGAATGGRAAAGTGTGAAGAAGCAGAGGAATGTCCTGGGGTCCCATTCCAGACTGTGCTGACGTGACTTCCAGGCTCAGAGATCAGCACTCACAGTGGCTGACTACAAGTGGTAAGACCCTGGGAGGCCACAGGTACCACAAGAACGGCTGGGGAGTTGGCCTGAAACATTCAAGTGTCACCCAGTTCTTAGCATGGCCACTCAGCTCCCCATCAGGAGTGGGGCCAGGAAGCCAAGTGGGACGGGGGCTGAATGCACTCGGCTGCCCTTCAGAGCTTCACAACGGTTACTAGGAGACAGCAGGATACAGACTCTGCCCACTGGGAACAGGGATGCCCAGGTTGGCACCACATTTGCCCTGGGTCTGCCAAGAGCCAAGGAAGGCTATGGTAAGCACTTCCATCTCAGCCAGAGCCACAGGCTTCAACATGCTTGCTTTCTGATGCAGAAAAATAGGATGGAAGAGTCTGATTCCAACCCTCAGAGAAAGCGCTCCTTGCCGGGACTTTGGAGTGGGGGCCTGAGGCTGCCTGCTGGTGTGAAGGAAGTGGCCTTTCTTCCTCTCCTCATTCTGTACAGAAGACACTCATCCATGCTGGTCCACCATCCTTTGTCATTGTGACTTCTTGTCACCAGCTCACTGGTGTATGTCTCGCCACACCTCTCCCAGTTCAGGATCAACTCAAACAGTGGCCAAAGCCCTGGGGATCCACATGTGTCAGACACTGTCCCCATCTCCAGGAGCTTGTGCTTCAGCACCAGGGTACCACCATGTGTGCCCCAAAGGAAGGGACTTCCTTCTGCCCAGGTGTAGCCCCAGAGGAGGCCCATCCTTCCTCTCTGCTTCTGGTTCTTTGCCATGGGACAGCAAAAAAAAAAAAAAAAGCATGACTGTGTCACCAAGTCAGGACAAATGGGGCAACCTCAGGAGTCCAGCCAAGGTCCCTCTCCTTTAACTGCAGAGAAACCACCTGCCACCTGGCCACTTGCAGAACAGAAAATGCTACCTCTGGCCTCCTCAGTCCTCCTCCTTGAGTAATCTGAATTTGCTCATGAGAAAGGACCCGAACAGAATGCAGGCAGCCTTCAGCCAAGTACGCTTCAGTCAGAGGACAGGCTGAACTTCCCTCAGCGCTGGACCTTGAGCCAGGAAGGACTGGGACTGGCTGGTATCTAATTCAGTAATCCATCTGGGACAAGAGCCCCAAGGGCATAGTGTGCTCGGAGAGCATCTCTTGAAAGGCCGACTTGGTTGGAAAAGTCAGGGACAAGGCAGGGATGGAGGGTCAACAAGTGTGTGACGGTCCTGCGGCCTCCTGGGAATGGACTGCCTAGCCATTCCAGGCTTGGGTTCCTCTGTGGTTCATGAGGCAGGGCTATTTAGCTGAGACCTATGCCCTAACCCTTTGAAGTCACTTTCAGTTCAGGAAATTCTGGTTCTCAAGTTAGGATGGGGTTGGGACCTGACTTAGCAGCCTCTCTGGACCCAGGAGCCAGGATGGGAGGCTGCTGCAGGCCTCTGCACCAAACTCTTATCCCTCCAGAGACAGCCATTTTCTCCTTCCGCTCCTTGTATTCCCAGACCTGTACTTCCATGTACAAGCTGAAGGTCTGGTCCTTGGGGGTCTTGAGATGCTCAGATGCCTACGTAGAGGGAACAAGGGAACAGGAGCCATTTGGGGGTACAACCCATCTCTGGGAGCCCAGAGCTTGGGAAGGACCATCAACACTGTTCTTGCTGCCTTCTCTTTATCTCTACCCAGACCCATGCTGAAACGGCCTCTTTTCAGTTCCATGAAGGCATATACTGTCCAGCCCAGGTCTGCCAGGATCTATGTAATCTGGCAGCCCTGAGCCCTTGGCTCCTCGGGTCTCCTCCTGGTCAGAGACACACTGTTTCAGAGCTAGGATGCGGGGCCTGCAGGAGGCGGCTCACCCTGGGATGAGGAGATACCCTCCTGCAGAGAAGGATCAGGTGCTTGTGCTCTGAGCCCTGTTAGGTTCCTGAAGCTTTTCAAGCTCCTTGAAACTTCATGCTGCAAGTTAGGTCAAGAGGAAGCTGCCCATTCGAGCTTCTGTTTGCTAAGGACAGTGTCTGAGATGCTGGGAAGCCATTCTTTTTATATCCTTACCTACTGTGGAGACTGCATGCACTGAAGGCTGAGGATCACCACCTCTCAGGACACGAGTGCCCAGGTGCTCCAGGGTAGTCTCCAGGAATGGAGAAGCACCAGTGAAGTGTAACTGAAGAAGTCCATTCTGAAAGGTTTGGGTCCCTCCTCAGGGAGCTACCACCAGTGACTTCCCTCTGTCAGCAGCCATGCTAATGGGCCTTCCTAACAGAATGTGATTAATTCAAACTCAGTTTGGGATTGGGGGCTGCTGTGCCCATAGTTGGTCTGAGATCTAGTGTATTTGGTCTTCAAGATGGTTTGCCGAGTACGTTAGCGTCTGTCTGGGAGACACACTGTATCAACTTGGTATGTGTGCACCCAAAGAACACACATTTCCACACCGGCTCCCTGTGGGGCAGGGCAGGGCCAGGAGGGCCCCACAGAGATCTTGACTCCCCTTGTTCTCCTCTAGCACTCTCTCTCACCCTGGAAACTCATAATGTGGTTTCTTTTAAATAAACTTGAATTGGCCATTTCTCCTAGCCCAGGCTGGCTCTATTTTGTTCAGCCCCTTGTACGCGAGCCAGCTGGCTGACGGACATCAGGTCCCCTGGGTCACAGGCATTGCCAGCTTTTGACTCTGTTTAGGTCACTTTCAGCATCACACCTCAGGTGGCAATAACTGCCAAGATCTACCTGTCTAGACATTCCTAGGCCCAGGGGTTGGAAGGCTATGAGGGGGAAGAGCTCCAGCTGACTGGCCAGGGACCCAGAGCAGGTGACATCCTTGAGAACATCCCTCTACATGCTCCAAAACATGCAGAAGACAGACAACTCTGCAAGAACTAAGGAAATGAGTGTCACCTCAAATCACAGCTACCACCTCTGCCCTCAGCTTTGGAGAATGTCCTAGTGTCCACAGACATTTGCCCCATTGAAGTAGTCGGAGAGGATGGGACAGCAGCCACCCCACTCTCCAACCACCACCATCCGGCACAGCAGCTGTGCACCTCTGTTCCCAGCCGAGAGGGCCAGAGTCCACACCCATTCAATTCTAGGGACAACGTTGGGTGTGAGACCCTGGAGGGCACAGGGCAGGGAAGCACATCTGCTGCCTGTGAGCCCGGCAAGCCCAGTTCGGGCCCTCGCGTTCCTCCCCCACCCCAGAAGCAACACCAACGCCCACAGACTAACCCTTCTGTTGTTCTGTTTATACACGCGTGTGTACACTTTGGGCCTAACTAGTAACCTGTAACTATGGAAACGGAGGCTGCCAGCATAGCTGCGAGGACACGGACACAGGCCCCATGTGTGGCTGCCACCAGAAGTACGCCCTCCACTCAGACGGTCGGACGTGCATCGGTAAGTTGACACCGCATACCCGCCTCGCTCCACCTGCCCGCAGGGTAAGGCCGCCTACAGTCCCCATCTCCCAGAAGGAAGCCGAGGGAAGCAAGAGAAAGCAGGGGTCCCCAAGTGTCAGCTTTTGTGGACGCTTACCCTAGGTCCCATAGACCCCTGGGTCCAAATCCCCAGCAACACCTGGTACAGGGCAGGTGGTCTGCGGGGAGGAGGAGCGTGTGTTCCTCAAGAGGGCTTCATCGGCACCTCGGCACCAGGGTTTCCCTGAGATGGAAAACCCGTGTCCAGATCTGTTTAGTCTCGTGGCCACCATTAGTTCCACGAGTGCCCAGAGCAGTCTGGAAAGCCCAGAGGTGTCCTCAGAACACAGCTGGTGGCGGGTGGATGGTGTGCATCCTTGTGGGGCCTGGGGTATGGCTGCTTTGAACTGCTTCTCATTCCAAGCTGACGGGGCTCTCGCAGTACTTCCTCCCCACCTGAAGTCCCTCCTCAGTGACACCCCACCCATCACCTCACTGCCACAGGAGTCCTGATCTGAGTCTCGGCCACTTGCTTCCTCCAGGCCCATATTTCCAAGGGGAAGCTTGAATATTTGTGATTGTTTCATGCCATGATCACTAGCAGTTTTTCCTCCTACTCAAAAGTAACAGCAGATTTTTTTTAACTGAGAAGAAGAGGCATTTCAGAGCTGCGCCCAGAGTTCTCCCTCCTCTCTGTCTGCAGCGCTGGCGCACTAGCACGAGTCAGTGACCATGGTTGTTATTGTTTTTAAAAGGCCCTGTCTCTGATTGCGGTCTCTGGGAAGTGTTTCTGGAGGGATTTTCGAGTGACAGAAAGGGGGGTTGTTTAGCAAGATAAGCACACAAGGCCTGGGGTTGCTGTAGCACTCTGTCCCCTGTGGCTGCTCCCTCGTGTCTTGGAGAGCTGGGTGCTGGCCGGGCAAGGACACCAGGCTGTCACCTCCCAGCCCAGGGCTGTGGTCATGGGTGCTGCTGCCTGCGGTGGTTCTCCCTCTGTGTGGTCTCTCCTCTCAGACAGCCGTTGTTATTTCATTTTATCTCATCCCTCCTGCTTCTCTGGTGATGGTCCCTGATTGCCTGTCTTGTCTGACAACTGACGTTTGTTAATTATTTTCAGAGCCAAAAGCCAAAACCAAACCAACCAAACAATCAAAAAACAAAAAAAATTAAAAGCCAAACCGGGTCTCAGACCAGTGTCTCTATTGCAGCCTGATCCCGTCTAGAACTCCTGTCCTCTGGCCTTTCTCCCTCACTGTCCCCCAGGCTCTCCTGGGCTGCTGCCTCCCTCCTGTCTTGTCTGCTCCTGGTCTCCTGGGGTTTGTGCATCCAGTGGGGCCACAGGCCACTGGACCAGCGCAAACAGCTGCCCGACCAGATGCACTCCCAGCCCGTCTAACCCCTCTTGTCTGTGTCCTCCTGATTCATTCCGACTCATTTTTTAAAAATGTTCTAACGCCTGCTGCACGTGGCGGTCCCTGCTTGGATCTCTTTCTGAAGTAACTTTCCAGGTCCTCGCCTCCCTCCCGACATTAGACATTTCTGACTCAGCTTTGCCACAATGGCTTCCTTCCTTCCAGGATGAGAAACCTCTGTCTTTGCTCATGTCACCAGCTCCCCCTGGGGACAGTGTCTTCACACATTCCAGACTGAGCAAGGGAACCAGCTAACCTCTACCCCTACAAGAAGCCTCCTGCACAGCTTTGCACCCGGAGGCTGCCCGGCTGCCCCAGGCTGTTCCTTCTCCCACTCCTACAGCAGCTGCCCCCTCCTGCAGCCTCCTGCTGAGCCTTGAATGCCCAGCCCTCATCCTCTAGACAAGCAGGCAACCAGCGCTGCCCAAAGCAACCCCGGGGTCCTGCGTCTGCTCGGCAGGACCCACTGTTCTGTGTGTGCGCTTGTGTTTCTCCATATGTTTTGGTCTTAATTTTGCATGAGTGACACTTTCATGTCCTTGTGACAGGGCATCTGCTGTCCCAGGCACATCCATCACCGGACCTCGCGGCCCTGTCCCTTTGTCCTGTGCCTTGTCCTGTGCCTGCCTCTCCAGCCTGAGCTATGGGGGTCTGTAACCACTTGTCTCCGTGAGCACTGCGGTGCTGGTGTCTGCACTGTGGCCTCTGCAGAGCACCCTCCTGCTCTGGCCTCAGCCGCCTCTCCTATGTTGTTGCACATGGGACTGTGTCCATCTGTCCTGGGTCGTGTCACAGTCACACCCTCTTCTGCACGCCCCACCCTTGCTGCCTCTCTGCTCTGCCTGAGCACACCTACCCTGGAGGTCCTGGGATGGGCCCCTTGGCAAGGACAGTGCGCTGGCCGCATGCTGTGTTGGCTTCGTGTGCGCCATGCTGAGAGGCTGGCTGTCTTGGGCCGCAGGACGTGGGCTCTCATTAACCTCTGGCTCCGTGTTTGTCCCTTACTTGTGTTTTAGAGAAGGATGAGGCTGCAATTGAGCGCTCTCAGTTCAATGCCACGTCAGTAGCTGATGTGGACAAGCGGGTGAAACGGCGGCTACTCATGGGTAACACTTTTCTTCCACTTCCTTTGTCATGCTTGCCCTTGTGTGTGCTCGTGCAGGTGAGCGTGTATATGTGCATGTGGGGTGAGTGCGCTGGTGCGTGAGGGTGAGCGTGTGTGTATGTGCGCATGTGTGTGTGGGTGGACCCCTGCGTGGAATGGTGTGTGCCCCTGTGTGCACAGTCACATGTGTTGTGTGTGAGTGTGGGGGGCTCCGCTGCAGATGGGAACTCATTTTTTTCCTTTTTAAAGTTTTTACCTTCCATCAAACGCACTTGTTTCTTTGTTTGTGTGTTCGTAGCACAGAACCCAGCGCCATGTCTAATGGGCTGAGCATGTCGGGAGATGTTTGCCGTAAGCCTCCTCCCGAGTGTAGACCCCCACGTGTGCATAAGCCCGGCTGGCACAGCGCACGGGACTCAGAAGCCAAGGAGGCCTTGGTGGGGAGGGGCCCGCAGCCCAGGCCTTCTCCAGCTCCTCTCCTGGGAGGGAAGTCACCATCCAGTCCTCTCGTCCTCAGGGGAGTCACCTAGTTCTCAGGGTGCCCTGGGAGGCCTGCTGGCTAGTGTGAGGAAAAAAAGAAGGAAGAGGAAAGAATGGCCGCCCTTGGACCGAGCACGGGATGCAGGACAGAAAGCGGCACCCGCCGCCACTCACGCCTGGACCCAGCAGCTGCTTCGGCAGTCGGGGTCGCCAGTCTGAGGGCTTCAGCCATTGCCTGGGGCCTCCTGGGTACAGCTGCAGACTCTGGGGGTACAGCCTTTCTGGTGATGCTCTGATGGCTGACACCAGCCCTGGGAGCCATGGACTTAAGGATGTAGTCCCCATTTCTCAGAGGAAGAAACAGGTTCCTGGGGTCCCCAGGCTTGTCCAAGGTCGCACACTACCCAACACAGCCCAGAGGCCATGGGTCCTCTCAGTGTTGGGATTGCTGGAGGTCAGAGCTGAGGGTCCCTGAAAGGTCACCTAGTTTTGTGTTCCTTATATGAACCTCCAAGGGGCCCAGGCATCTCAAGAGGAAATAGGAGGGAGGTCTGGGACACAGGAGGGACATAGCCCTGTGCTGGCCAGAAGGCCGGAGGCCTGCAGGCTGTGCTCAGTGAGCACCAAACACCTGCACTGGGAGGGCAGGTGTCACCCTCCTCCTCAGATGCACGCTCCAAGACCAAAGAGGTCTGAGCACTCATCCTGGGCATATGGACTGATAGGACAGGCCCAGGCTGGAAGCCGTCCTCCACAGAGTCTCTGGAGGGACCATCTCTTGGGCATGGGTGTGGCCTTGGAGGCTTGTCCAGGCAGTCATGACCACAGCCTCCAGGAGGTGAGAGTCAGCATGTTGGACCCCTAGAATGGTGACAGAGGTGGGTGCCAGCAGCCCCAGGGATCAGTGTTGTGAGGCCACACTCAGGACTCAGGACCCAGACTTTCACCCCACTTCCTAAGTGCTACAGGTACTCCTGTTGAGGCCTGAGCCCCACAGAAAGCCTCTAAAGCCCTCCTCCTCCCTACCCCCCCCCACACCTCCTGCCACCCCCCCMCACACACACACACACACACCACTCTTCCCAGGAAGGAGCTAGATGGCAGAAGAGGCCAAGCTGAGCTGGTGCTGCAGGGGTGGTGGGCAGGGTGATGGGACAGGGCCTCTGCACTTGCCTTCTGTGATTAGAAGCCATGGACAGCCACCCCAGCCAGATCCTGAGGGGCCAGGGAGGCGAGGAACCCAGCCACCTCTCTTTGGGCTTGGTAGGCAGAGAAGGGGAGCAAATCAAAGGGTGTGGGCCAGGATCAGGGTGAGGACCACAGTGGAGTCAACCTTCCCCACATTCCCACCTCTCCCATCATTGAAACCTGCCATTCACCCCCCCAAAAGCCTGTCCTGACTCTCAGAAGAGGCCTCTCTCTCCTCTGGTGTCCCTACAGCTCTTGCCATGGGTGGATGGGCCAGTGTCCTAACTCACACTCTCAGAGAAAAGGTCAGTCTTGGGGCCCAAAATCTAAAGCACAGTTGAACCTCCAACTCAAAAGCCCTGTCTTTGAAAGCAGCCTCTGAGGTAAAGATGTAAGATCTTGTTGGACTTTAGGCCCTAACTGTTAGACCCCAGGGAGGTGTTGCTGTTCCCAGGCTGTATTAATAGAGACAAGGTATGGAGAATAGGAGAGGTGAATACCCCCCACATTCTGCCTTATGCCAGTCAGCACATACCTGGGTATCAGGTTCAGAGCCAGGTCCTGCAAGGAGAGTGTCTAGACAGTGAAGGGAATCGGAATTGGGTGAGACTCGCTTATTAATGCTACTAGAGTTTTTGATCTCTGAAGAAGCACCAGCACCTTATCCTGGGAGATCCTTGGGTTTGTGGGGCTAGGGCCGGGAGAGAGTAGGACAGGCAGAGGGGGAGGTACCCATCAGCAAATGAAGAAGCCGATACCCCAGGAGATCCATGACCAAGTTAGACCCTGGGCCAC